TTTGGAGTATTTTGTAGCTAATTTGATTTGGAAATTTGAGTGGAAGGCTGTGGATGGAGATGATGTTGATCTGTCTGAGAAGGAGGAATTCACAGTAGTGATGAAGAATCCATTGCAAGCCCAAATATGCCCAAGGTTGAAATAAATTATCAGCTTGATTTCCTTCTCTATCTTTTGATAAAAACGTTAAGGTTGATTTCATTTGCTTGGACAATAATATTGAACGTAACTTCACTAGAGCTAAGGATTTGCTAAGCATAGCTCCGAGTCAAATGCCCCTACGTTGTGGGATGATCTTCCTATTGTTTAAGTTTTATTTGACCAATAGAGTCTATATCCTGTTAATTAATTAATAATTACCTTAATGGTTTTTTGTTCGTCTTATGCTGGCTGTGTGTCTGGATGCATGTTTATTCGGGCCGAGTTGCTGGGGGTTTTTTGGGGGGTTTTTAAGCGTCTTTTTCCCAAGAAAAAAGGGAAAAAAACAGAAGACATCTAACTTTCTATAAGATTTCTCTAGAATATATTGAATTCAAAACCGAGGGATCATATGAGATAAGGAATTAAGAGATTGCATCCATAAACTAATTGAATATATATATTGAATTCAATACAAGGAATATATTGAATCATAGGGGTGAGCTGAATCTAGCTACTTGTTGAGTGTGAGATAAACTCCAAATATGAGCAATTTGTGAGGGAAGTTGCTGAATCTAGCTGGGGCTAGATTACGGCACGTCAGGTTGAAGATCTGTGCGAAAAACTGAACCCGTGACAGTGAGTGTTTAAAAAGATGCCATCCAAAAAGAACAGATGTGGATTTAAGAATTGGAAGACAGTCGTCCCTACCCTGTGGCAAGTTCCATATATTGGCCTCTTGTTGAATAAAAAAAAACACTAGTATAACTTGATTTTTATCAGGATTTAAGATCAGATCACATCCATTACAAATAAAATATAACTTTATAATAGCATATTTAATAAATGCTTCGATATTTATTCATTAGCTTTCGTCATCTCTGCAAAGCAACCACGAGACCCCAAATATATATATTATAACAATCAATGACACCAAATGACAAATCACCTCTCCCCCTTTCTATTTAATTGACAAACAATAAAGAACTTGTGATTTCTCCCGAATCAAACGACGACAAAATCACTACTAGAATCAATTTCTTGCACGAATTCATGTTTGAACATGGTTGTTTGTACTGGGTGATGAAATTTGTCACATGTGTCTTCCTCAAAACAGCATATAGCAGGTTATTTATTCGAGGGAAAAAAGAACTCAAACCTTGACCCTGAAAGTGGATGACAAAGTGTTGTGAAGCGTTAAGAAAAATGGATTGCTGAATTTTTTTATGCTAATTCTAGGTTTTGGTTGGGTTTGTGTTAAAAGGAGTTCTTTTCATGTTTGTATCGAATCCATATCTGCAGTATCAAACCGAGGAATCCTCTTCCCTTTCTACTGTTATTATCATCATCATCTTCCCAGGCCTCAAGAGCAAATTGGGTTTTCACAAAAATCTTATCTTCTTGAGAATGTGTGGCTCTACTTGGAGAGAAGAACAAAATCAGGAGCTTTCACTGTGTGTGAGAAAGAGAGTGAGGATGATGACATTATCTTGTTTCTTTTTTACTTTTTAAAAATCTAATATTGTGATTTGTTAATTGTGAATCTAGATGGATGGAGAATGTAGATTTAGACTTGGAATGGAGGTGATGGATGGGCCAGTAGTGTTTTAGATATTTTAACTCGAGTATTTTTATCATTAATTAAATAAAAAATAATAGCAAATATTTAAATAATCAAATAATTTTTTATTTTATTTTTTTTAGACGCGCCATGTACAATATATAAATTGTTATGAACGCATTTTAAAATAAAAACTATTATTTTTTAAAACTCGGTAAAAATATATAATTTTAACTAAATTATAAGATATTATGGATTTTTTTTTAATTTCAATTTCACTCATTAATTTTCTGGTTTTAGTTTTAAAAACAACATGAAATTAAGTTTTGTAAAAGTGGTCTCTGATTCAACATCGGAATATTCAAAGATCCATCGGATAAACAAATCAAAGTAGAAAACAACAAAAAGAACCATGTCAGCATAAATTACGAGGATATAATTAAAAATAAATAAAGTTGCAAGAACAATGCGATATGCCATATATATATATATCAACAATATTTTTCTCAAGTGTTTTAGTTTATTTGTTAATAATAATAATAATAATAATATTGAGTTTTTTTAAAAAGTTATTTGTATAAAATTATTTTAAGATGTTCGGATGTTTTAGAATTTGTTTAGAAATGTGGTTGTATTTGTTTTTTAAATAATTTTTTTATTAAAATACATGTTAATAATATTTTTTTATTTTTAAAAAATTATTTTTAATAACAGTACATTAAAATAATTAAAAAATACTAAAAATATATTACTTTAACATTAATAAAAAATAAAATATTTTTAATTTTTTAAAAAAACACAAAAATAAACAATAACTTAATCATCTCCTTCATCTTCCTAAGTGAACATCAGCAATGACAGATCACCGGACATAAAAACAGGCATGAGAAGATGCTGTGTCACAGAGTTTTGGCGGGATGTCTAATGATGCTGGCCTAAAAATTCTTTACATGGTTGACCCTTTAAAAAATACTGTCCAGAAAATATGATTTTTTTAGAAAGAAAAATGATAATAAGCCTTGATTCTTTGTTGGTATAGAATATTGATATCATCACTGTTTATACAGGTGTCGACTGGGTACTTAGGGTTAAAATGAAGGGAGGGAGGGAGGGAGGCAGCATCAGAGTGCTGAAGGTGTCCACCCTCTAAACTATTCAGAATTTTGCCATCTAGTTTCGAAAAACAAAATTCTGCATGCTACGCCTTCGCATTTCTTCCGATGAACTCTATAAGATCCCCCGGATAAATACACGCATGGCTATGGTTTTGATACATAAGATTAGATCTCGCATTGATTCAGGTTCTATAATATGCAATTTTTTAGTGATCAAATATTGGATTATATTTGAAACTCAGAGAAAAAGAAAAGAGCATAGCAGCATGAGATCGATAATGTTTCTCGGATATAGGAGTCAAGAGTGTATCTTCAGGCCCAATTGAAACACACAGACCCTCTTCATGATCCTCTTCAAGCAGATTTCTACGAATAATTATCCACGAACTGTAACAAGTTTTTATCCTTCTTCTTCTTCTTTTTGCCGAAGTCTAACTAGGGCATATGATATGGAGAAAATCCTTGTTTTTTTACCTTCTTTATCATACAAATCCATGAGCTCATAATATACACACATCATTAATATTCCTT